ATATATATATATATATATAATATTTCAATTGCACACTCATTTGGACACTGTTTACTGTACATGCAGCTGTACAGGTTTACCTACGTTATTTAAAATAAATCTTGTTACAAGTGTATTTTTTGTATTATTTATTTTGATAGGTAACCACTTAAATGTATCATTAAACACATTTAGATCACACACATATGTGGCAGAATCTAGTACGTGTGTGATGTTAATCTTTAATTTCCACAAGATGTCACCATTTATTTTCAAAGCAGAGTAAGATTTACAAGTAGGATGTTAGGGTAATCATTTAGATTTATGCTGATGGCTGCCTTATCAATGATACTAAAAAAATGTGTCGTAAAAGTTGCATTAAATTTCCTGTAAGAATATTATTGTTCTATGGTGCTGTAATGATGGAAACTGAACTCATACTTGGATTTCAGAACAAAAAGCTTTTTTTTTTGCACTGATTGTAAATCAAATGTAATGAACTTCAATGTAAAACAGGTCAGATATGGTTAAATGAATAAAGGTAAGTAATAGTAGTTTTTTTTAATTACTTTTTTTTTTACCCAGAATACTGTTAGAATTCTTATGATTAATTTTCCTGAAGTTAACCTCAAGGGTCATAATACATTAATCCATCCATGTGTTTACTTTTATAATGAGCTTCAGTTTCTGTTTTCAATAATGGTATCATTGGAAACATGCTGAAAATTACAAATCCAAAGATTTCCTTTAATTAATTAGACCTACCTATCTCTTCAAAATGGAAAAAAATTCTCATGAATTCATAACTCCTGACAGCTTTTTCCTGTCAGTAGGCTATTGTGTAAACCGAGGAATATTTTGACAAAAAATCCTAATATGCCAAGCATGTTTCAAATTGCAATGACTGTATACTTTCTAAGTATTTTCTAATACTCTCATATTTCTCATATTTAAATACATACTGTACATCATACTGCGGTATAACACAGACATACCTACCTTAGTGTATTGATTATGCTAAGCATGCTGAAAATATGTCATTTTCATATAATGGTTTAGCTTCCAGAACTGACCAATAACGACAACTCTTCTGTTACCCAATCCAAAGTCTCATTATTTGTTGTGAATTTCTTAATTTCTTCATGTATGAACAGCCTTCTAATTTGCATACTCAGATTAAAGAAATATCATAGAATGAATTGAGTAGGCTATAGAACTGAGTATAGTACTTTTTATTTTAATTTTTGTTTTTTATTTTCAGAATAACTAATGGGGTTTAGAACAGCTGAGACAACCAATTTAGTTTCCTGCAGTACTGATTAAAGTTTTCAAGATAACTCACACCGGAATGAGTAAGTATGACAGACCTCTGAATCACCATTAGGTTGCTTAATGAATGCACAGCTATACGTTCACACCCTGTATACTGCATATGTGGGTCAAAAATAATGCAGAGATACAATTAGATGCCTATTCAATGAAAATAAATGTTTATGATAAAGTGGATTTTGTGTGTCTAACTTTATTTGGCACCAGGTGGATTAACACTGTAATAAGTGGGCCTACTGTAAATCTGAGTAAATTAAAGAGTAGCCTACCTAGGACGCCTTGCAACTTCTTTTTATTATTATATAAATCTGAAATATTTGATCTAATATTGACTATATTCTACCCACACATGTAAACTACAGTCACATGGGTATTTGTATTCTATCCTATTACGAACCACTAAAAACATATTTCCATTTTTTTGGTAGGCTTTATGTTGATCACGAATGTTTCATAAACATGACATTAGATACAAGAACTAGTGCAATGAAACAGTAGGCTAACGTCAAATGAAAAGCAGGCGAATCATTTAAAGTTAATCATAAAATGTGAAGATGAGTCCTTTTTTCTATAGCCTATATGAGCTCGGTCACTAAAATAGTACAGCCACTAAGCCAATATATTTTACTAATTTGCGAACGTGTGCGAGCGAACGAACGATGACTGATTCTTGAACGAATTGTTTATTTGAGTCGGATCTTTATCATGAATCGGTTGAACCGGTTCACAATAATGGTCCATGTCACTAGTCCAGAACAATTCTTTCACGAATTGTACTGAATCGATTCGTAATGATCCATGTACCGAACGAGCATTCGTAACGAACCGATGAGTGAGTTGGACTGTCCGGATTTGACTAATTTGAGAGATATTAAAGGATTGGGAATATATTTGTGGCCTGAATATGACAGATATTAATAAAATTGGTTAATAAGCTGCATTTTAATAAAGCATACAAAACCTTTGGCTTTTAGTATTGTTGAAGCAAATTATATTTGTGTTCTAAATGGCAGGATGTTTTTACAAGTAAACACGGGCTGCAACAAGCTGAACTGGAAACAGGAAATACAATAAACAACCTTATTATTATTATTATTATTATTAAAACTATAAAAACGTGTAATACATGACAAAATAACTCTTTATTTGAACGTTTCAGATAGTGTATTAAGGGACCACTTGATGGCGCAATTACGCTTTGACGTGAAAGAATCACTGAATTGTGTTCTATCAAACGAACCGTTTGAATGAACCGATTCGCGGAAATGAGTCGGACTTCCCATCACTAGAGTGAAAGCGGCTCTGTTTACATCTGCGGAATTTCCCATCTTGCGCCGCGAACCACTTCCGCAAACCTCCGGCCGATCAAAGACGCGTCTCCGTCAAGGTACAGAAAGAGCTCCTCTTTTCATTAAAAACAAAGAACTAGGGGTAAAATACAGGTATATTTAAACGTTATCGTGCGACCGCTATGTTTTATCCTCTCCTAGAACATTATTGAGCGTATTTAGGTGCTGTTTGTGGCTTTAGGGAAAGCTAGCGTGAAAGCTTTTGTCTGCTAGCGGGGTAAACACATCACCTGCTGTTAGCCGGATGCTAAGCTAATAGCATCATATATTTGTTTTGAAAGTGAGTCATTTAATTAGAATACAAAATACGTTGGCTTTGACCTTGTGTGGGTAACGTTAGGGGGTTTCGGCTCATTCTTAATAAAAGCTCAAGGTTTCCATACTGTTTCTGTTTGAGGTCGTATTGTTAATTGAAGTCATTCGAGAGCTGTTGATTAAGAGCTTGGAGGGGATTAGAAATAAACATGATCCTCTAGATAAGGTTTCCTCTGGTCTAAGATCATCTTTCAGCGTGATGTTGACACTACCAGAGCTGTTTAAACGGGTCTTGTCATGGAAAGGAAAGTGAAAGAGTTTAGCTTTAGTTGGGTTTGCAGCTGCTGTGAAGGTAGGTGGCTGTGTTTTTGGTGTTTTTCAGAGACATTGTTTTTGAGAAATTGTCTTATTGGATACGAGATATTGTCTGGTGGCACATGATTATTCCTTTCTCTGGCTTCTGGTTTGACCTATCACTTAGTGTAAATGTCACTTGTCATGGTTATATGGAAGTGAGGATTTATGCCGGTGTAGTGCCGAATTCTGCACCCCTGCCAGATTATGCACCCCCTCATTGAAGTCACTACATGATTGCCTAATCCCAACCCCACCCCTAATCCTAACCCCTCCCCCACACCTACTCCTAAACCTACCAATAATAGGGGATGCATAATCTGGCAGGGTGCAAATTTCGGCACTACACTGGTCTTGGTTGACTGATTTATTAAACGCTGATGGGAAAATCATAAACTGTTTTAGAATATCTTAATGACTGCTATGACACATTTAGTTATGATATCAAAGATGTGCATTCAAATCATTATGTCTTGAAATAGGCAAAGAGAAATCCCCAAGATGCCATTATTCAAATGCCTCTCTTTGAATTGCAAATCAACAATTTTTACGCACTTCCATGCCGTCAGTTCATGTTACAGTGCTAATCTGAGAGTTTTGTTTAACCTGTCTGTACAGTACAAACAAATGAATGACCACCTGATTTCTTTGTTTTAGTACAGGGAAACATGTTTGGTAAGTGACGGGGGTGACAGATGGAGGGAAAAAGCCCATATCGCATCTATGACCCCGGTGGGAGCGATTGCCAGGTGAAAGACGAGGCCAGCAGCCTCAGCTACAGACAGCTGCTAGAGGAAAACACCGTTTTGAGGGAGAGAATGAAAGGTCTGAAGAGTTTAGGTGAGGAATCCTAAACAGCCACCTATTATTAATGCCTTTGAGAATCAAGAACCTGATTGATCCGGCTGGTTTGGTTAATATAAACCACCTGGGAAGATTTTATAATAATCACCTTTATATTTTCAATTTCACCATCTGTCAGTGTCTAAGTTGAAGTTACATAATAGTTAAATGCCTTATGTGTTGCTCATTCTGGGCATCGGAGTCATCAAACTCATGTATTAGTTCACTGGTATCTTGTGTTGCTAATTTGGATTTAGAGGTTTATTGTTGGATCAGAAATGAAGCTATTCTGGATTTTCAGCTTTTAGCAGCTGGCGCTGTGTTTTGACGTACAATTGTGTCAGGGCAGCTGCTTTTTGTCATGCTTATGTCATGTAGCCCATTGTTTGCCTTTTTTGTGACTGGTAGGAGACCTGTTAGAGGAGTCTCAGACAGAGGCAGCCAAGCTTCGGAAGAGGGTGGAGGAGCTGGTGAGGGATAACGAAACTCTGAAGTCATCCACGACCAGCTTTGCCTCCAGTCTGTGCATGGGCGCCCCTGTTCATACAGACACACAAGGTACAGTTATATCATTATTCTGATGGAGTGAGGTCGGTGAAGGGTGTGACACTAGAGAGACCTCTTCTTAAACCAGATCTCTTGTGATTGTGGCTTTCTTTAGGTCATGGAAAACATCACGCTCATCCTACAACAGAAAGACAAGAATCTCGGGATTGTTTAACTGGAAATACTTTACAACCAGAGGCAACTGTAAGCACTTCTACTGAAACTTTTGGAAACATGCTATAAATATGATAGCATCATAACTTTAAGTCAATTATGCTATCTAACATAGTAATGTAACTTTCAGTTTTGCGACTTGCTGTCAATTTGAATCCCATGTGAAGTCAAAATAGGGACATATCCCTTAGGGCTGTGCGATATTGAAGAAAAATGCGATATGCGATACCTTGTTAAAAATGCAATATTTGATATGCGATACGATATTTCTTAAAGTGTGTAAAATCAATTTAAATGATATTTAAAAATATTTAAAAATGAATATTATATAACCAATTTGTTTCACATTCTTTCTTGGAAAATAAAGAATCACTATAACTTCTGAAAGTGACCAGCAGTGTTTTAGCATTACTTAAAAAGT